TTGGGAGCAGCAGTGTGTGGGCACAGGGAACACAGGTCCTGCAGCCTCTGGAGGGTCTCCTGGGGTTCCTTGCAGGGTGACAGCAGCATCCGCTACTTCGAGATCACGGATGAGTCCCCGTACGTTCACTACCTCAACACCTTCAGCAGCAAAGAGCCGCAGAGGGGCATGGGGTTCATGCCAAAGAGGGGCCTCGACGTCAACAAGTGTGAGATTGCCAGGTGAGGAGAGCTCATCCCAGGGCTGGGAGCAGGCTGGGAGCTGGGGCTGGGAATTTCAGCAGTGGTCAAAGCAGCAGAGCAGTGAGCACTGGGCAGCCGTGGTGCAGAAAACCTGGGAAGGGCAGGAAACATCTCAGGATGTCGCTGCAGTGGCTCCAGGAGGGAACATCACGGCTCGTTGGGAGCGTGAGCCATCTCTTCTCCCAGGAAACAAGTGATAGGACAAGGGGAAATATCCTCAGATATTAGGAGCAATTTCTTCATGGTGTCATGGGTGGTCAGGCTTTGGAAGGGACTGCCCAGGGCAGGGGTGGAGTCCCCATCCTGTGTGCATGTGGCACTTGGGGACACGGTTTATGGTGGGCTTGGCAGTGCTGGGGGAATGATTGACTCGATGTTCTCAGGGATTTCTGTGCTTCCTTGGGGTTGCTCCTTTCCCATCTCCTCCATCTCCCTGATCCTCACTCCCTGTCCCACCTCTCCTTTTCCCCGGCAGGTTCTTCAAGCTCCACGAGAGGAAGTGTGAGCCCATCATCATGACGGTTCCACGCAAGGTGAGCTCTGCCCCGGGGCCAGGCTCTGGAGCCAGCTCCTGCCTCCCAAAGCTCCTGACTGATCCGTGTCTCCTGCCTTGCAGTCCGACCTCTTCCAGGACGATCTGTACCCAGACACAGCCGGCCCAGAAGCAGCTCTGGAAGCAGAGGAGTGGTTTGAGGGGAAGAATGCTGATCCTCTCCTCATCTCCTTGAAGCACGGGTACATTCCAGGCAAAAACAGGGATCTCAAGGTGGTCAAGAAGAACATACTGGACAACAAACCCGCCGGGAACAAGAAGAGTGATCTCATAAATGCTCCAAAGAAAGCAGCGGATGCCTCAAACCCTGTGAGTAAAGTCCAGAAATTTTGGGGGTGATGGGCTCTGGTGGGAATGCCAGGGTGGGACCAGTGACAGAACCTGAGGGAATGGCTGGAGCTGTGTCAGGGGAGATTCAGGATGGATATCAGGGAAAGATCCTTCTCCCAGAGGGTGCTGGGCACTGCCCAGGCTCCCCAGGGGATGTCACAGCCCCAAGGCTGCCAGAGCTCCAGGAGCGTTTGGACAGCGCTCTCAGGCACAGGGTGGGATTTTTGGAGTGTCCTGGGCAAGGCCAGGAGTTCTTTGGATCATCCCTGTGGGTTCCTTCCAACTTGGGATATCCCATGGTTCTGTGATTCTAATGCTTCTGTAGATATGGAAGATTTGAATTGTTTTTTTCTAAATCACAGAACCATTAAGGTTGGAAAAGACTTTCAAGATCCCAGATTCCAACCCTAACCCAGCACCAGCACCTTGCTCACCACTAATCCCTGTCCTTTGGGGACACAGAGAAAAGTGTTGCCTGAAGAGCAGGGACTGCTCCTGGATGGGTTCATCCCAACTGCTCCAGAGTCTGTCACACCCTCACCCTCCAGCAGTCCCACTGGGAGGAGCCCTTTCCTTGGAAAACCCCAGAGCTCTCCTCACTCATCCTTTCCTCTCTTCCAGCAAAACGACGCCAAATTGGACGAGATTTTGAAGGAGCTGAAATCCATCAAGGACACGATCTCCAACCAGGACGAGCGCATCTCCAAGCTGGAGCAGCAGATGGCCAAGATCGCGGACTGACGGGGCCGCCAGCCCAGGCACACCCCAGCTCCCAGTTCAGCCAGCAGCAGCCTGCAGCATTCCAGTACGAGCTTTCCTGTTCTCCTAAATCCACGTCAACGAGAGCCGATGATTTCAAGCCGAGCTTTTTAGTGAAAGATTTTTTTTCGTTTCCCGATGTTCCGATGAATTTCTGTGACTGTGTCAAAAACAAGGCAAAAACGAGAAGTGCTACTTTTACAGGTTTATTTTTGGTTTTTTTTCCAGATGTTATTATGAATCCTTGAAAAACTAATCCATTCTTGACTTCTGATGTCATGCCCAAATATCTTTTTTTCTAGATTTAGGGACCAACGCCACATTGTTCTTAACTTTTTTTTTTTTTTTTTTTTTAGAGTTGCCAAAAAATAGAAAAAAAAATTGCTTTTATTTTTCTTATTTGCCACTTTTGCAGTATTTGTGTTTCCATTCCAAGGGACAGGGGGTGTGGGGGGTGTTTACACTGTGCAGAGAACAAAGCTGAAGCTATTTTGTATAAATCCTCCATTTGGAACAATCAGGTGGGTTCCCTTCCCTTCTCTTCCCTGTGGAATCCCCTTGGACATGGGATCAGCTGCCTTTCCTGCTCCACAACATGTCCCCAACCCCCTTGGCTGACAGAAAAATACAAATATATCATTCTGAACGAGGGGATTTATTTCCTACTGAAGTTTTAAGCCAGTACCATGTTCCCATTTTCCTGCAATCCCAGGGTTTTGATTCCATGACCAAACTCACACATTTTACTTGCTAGTTTTTATTTCCATTTCGAGGCAGAAGTGACTTCCATGCAGGAATGTTTTTATCCATGGAGTTCCAGGTAAGCTGTGGGATGCCAGCAGTCGTTGCTGTAAATCCTTTTTCCTGCCCCCCAACACTCCTGAGCTCATGGATTTTAAGGAGCTTTTGGAATCCATCAGCCCCTCACACCAGTGCTGATGATAGGAATTTTCTGTGCTTCCAAAGCAGCATTCACAGCAGAAAGGTGATTTTTCCATGATAATTCTCCACAAACAAAATGCCTCCGTTGTTACTTTTTTATCATTTGTTTTCTCCTGTCCATCATTCCCATTCCTGCCTCCCACCCTGCCATGCTGGGAAGCTTTGCAGGAAAGGATTTGTTCCCGGATGAGATGAGCGACCTCCAACCCCAAACCCCTCCTCTGCACTCCCAGCCCTTCAGAGCAGAAGGGACTGGGAGGGTGGATTTGATCCCAGTTTGGAGAACTGGTTTCTCACATGGCTCCTTTGGGATCCTGCAGGGAGAGGCCCCGTGAGTGCTCCAGGCTGGCCAGGGAGCTCCTCCTGGAATTCCATGGGAGCTCAGCTTGGCAAAACTCTGCTCGGGCAGGGTCTCCCCTGTGAAGGAGCTGTCAGGGATGGGGCAGGCTGGATCCCTGCTCCCAGGCTGTGTCCTCGTGCTGGGAATGGGATCCAGGACACCCTGGAAAGCTGTGCCAAGCAGGATTGGTGCTGCCATTCCTGCACGGCCCATCCCTGCAGTGCCAGGGAGTGCTGATAACCCATCCTGAATCCAAAGGTGGGAGAGACCATCGGGTGTCCGAGAGCTCTGGATCCCTGTCCCAGCTGGACTCTGTCCCTGTGGCAGCTCCGTGTGCTCCCACCTGGAGCATCCTGGTGGACACGAGTCCCTTCATCCAGGCTGAAGTGATTGAATTTTTTTAAATTATTATTATTATTTTCCATTAGTTTAGCTAGGAATTCTCCGATTTTCCATTTTTCCCAGTGTTTGCATGTTCAGAACTTCCAGGTTAAGGATTCCCTGTTGTGGAGGGATGCGTGTGTGGAGGCGGAATCGGCCGGGGGACGTAGCTGGAGAGGACGGGATGGAGGAGACAGAGGGTGTGGTGGGATTGCAGAGCAGGAAAGCTTCAGAAAAGTGGGATTTCTGTGTTTTAGGGACAAGTGGCATCCCCTGCCCTGTGCCCGTGGATCCACAATCCGGCTGCTCCGCGTTCTTTGGCTGTTTGGTGACGTTTCTGTATTGCAGTAAATGCCTGAGATGTGTATTTTTATGGATTTTTTTTTTTTCTTTTTTTCTTTTGGAACCCAAACCCGACGGTCGTTCTCCCCACAGTGGTGATTTCTGTGTCGATTTGTACGTGTGACTTCAGGGTTGTGTGCTCGGGGACCTCGGGTTTGTTCCTAACATTGGAGGGAAATCAGTTTTGGGAGCCGCTGGATTGAGGTGCCCGGGGGTGGGGGTGTGGGAGATTTTAGTTCCTAGCCTGTATTTTATTTAAATGAACTGATGCCTCGCCAGGCTCAACCGGAGTCAGTGCCTGAAGCTTTTTGTAGCCGTGATATCCCGGGAGAGAACCAGCCCAGTCCGGAAAGACGCGCTCTTATAGAGCGGCCAGAGTATCTGTCCAAATATTTGCTTCCATTTTCAAAAGATAAAAGTCATTGATTATAAACTGCCTCTGCTTGGCTTTTCCTTTGGCTCTCGGCATTCCAGGTCTGATAAATAACCGGGATGTGGAATGATGGACACCTGAGTGGGGGCTGTGGCTGAGGGGGTCCTTGGGGACCTTCTGCTCTTGTCCCAGGAGAGCCAGGGCCCATTCCCGAGGTCACACGTGGAATCCTCCCTGGTGATTCCCAGTGATGAGCCCGAGAGCTTGGCTGGATGTGGGCTGTGATGGCACAGATGGGATGGGGGGTGATGTGTTCCCAGGAAGGAACCAGCCCTGCTTGGGAACTTCCCTGGATCTGGGTGGGGAGGGGCTCATTCTGCTCTTCCCCAGGTGAAATCTGTTTCCAGGAAGTCTGTAAGGACACACAGCTTGGGCTGCAGATAGCATCACTTACCCCACCCAGGTCTGAGCTCTCTCAGGGCTGCGGCGTTTCAGGGGATGTTGCACAACCACCTCCGGAACACCCCGAGCCCGGCAGCGCCCCAAAGCCGGACAGGGATGCTCAGTGCTCCCTGGGCACCATGGATCCGTCCCAGGGACGCTCACCCCACAGGCCTGAGCCCCACTTTTTCCCTCTTCCAGCCCCCTGGGCAGGTGTTTCGGAGCAGGGACGGGCTGGGTTTCCGAGGGCGGGGGGTTGTTGACACCCCGAGCCCGTTCCTGCGGATGTGCCTCTTGCAGCACCTTCCTGCGGCTGCGGCTGCGCCTCCCGCCCGGGAGCCTGCGGTTGGGGCGGGGGCTTTCCTGTCGTGCCGGTGCCACGAGGCCGGGACAACACCCAGGATAACACCCAGCAGCCCCCCCGAGAGCCCCTCCGAGCATCCTGGGGATGGTGCAGAGAGAAGGAGCCCGGAACAAGGGCTGTGCAAAGCATCGAGTCAGGCCCTCTCCCTCCTCCTCCTCTTCCTCCTCCTGTGCTAAGGCGTTTCCCGGTGTTGAGGTATCTCAGGGCACCCTGGCCCCCTCCCTGGCCGTGCCCACACCGTGCCCGGGGGGTGGCAGCGCTGGCACCAGGTTCGCCGTCACTTCTGCTTTCGGGGCGACATCAGCCCCAAGAGCGCAGCTGCTCGGTGGGGCCGAGCCGGGGGGCTCCCACCAGGGCAGGAAGCCCCTCTTTGGGGCCTGCCCACACCCTGCCACCATCCCCGGGGGGTGCCCGCAGCCCCCCAGCCCTCGGTGGCCCCACTCTCGGCGTGACGTCCTTCTCCCCCCGCGGGCTCTGGAAACCGCAGCAGCTTTTCCGCGCTCCCTCCTTTCCCCGCCCGGCCGGAGGTGAAGGCGGAGGGCTCCCCACGACGCCCGGTGCCAGGGCTGCCCTCGCCCCGCCCGTGTCAGGCCCTGCCGGTGAGTCCTGCACTTGGGACCCCACCGCCTCCATCAGCACAGGTGAGCCCTGCTGGGGAGGTGCTGGAGCGGGGCTCGGCCCCGGGGATGCTCTGGGTGCAAAAGGCGTGCTCAGGATCCCTCGGTGCCGCTCTCCGCGCTGGTCCCTGGGGGTTTTGGGGAAGCGGGTGGGTGCTTTGGGGATGTGGGAGTCTCCTGGGGACGCTCGGAGCATTGAGCCGTGTCTGGATGCTGTTGGGTGCGGATCCTCGGGGACCTCGGTGCCTTCCGCCCGCCGGGGCTGCTGAGGAAGGGGGGGATTGGTGATGGAACAGGGGAATTTGGGATGAGTTTGGCGTGGATTTGCCTCTGCTGCTCCGGCACAGAGGCACAAGCTCATGGTGGCCTCAGCCTGGAGCCCTGTGCCAGCCCGGCGGGCAGAGGGGGAGGACGGGCACCCCGGCGCAGGGTGGGGGGGGATTTGTCAAAAGTGTGGGTGAAATCCCTGTGGTTTCATTTCCACACGGAGACTCATCCCGCAACTGCCCCGTCCCGCAGCAGCTGCCTCCATCGCGGCTGATTTCCCATTTCCAGACACTCAACTTCCTTATCAAAACTTGCTCCTGGAGCAGAGCCACCGGTGCTGGGCTCCCGCAGGTGGGGGCTGCGGCAGGAAAGAGGTCGCTGGGTGCCTCCTCCATTCCCCCGACCCCGAGGGCCCCTCTCCAGAGGGGGAGGAGGATCCTCGGCTGGAGTTGGGGCAGTTCCATGCTCAGCGTTCTCCCGCGAGGAGCAGGACCCCGATGTCACCTGCCCTTTCTGTCCCCTGCAGGTCCCATGGCGCTGGGCCGGGCCGTGCTGCTGCTGCTGCTGCTGAGCCCCCTGCGGGCGTGTGGGGCTGAGCTGCTGGAGCCGGGGCTGCCCCGGGACGGGCAGTGGGTCTGGGGGGCGGCCGAGCCCCTGCCCCTCTCCCGTGGGAAGAGGGATGACAGCGGGAAGGGGCTCGGTGTCACGGCGATGCTCAGCAGTGACAGGAGCGATGGTGTCTCTGTGCCGCCGCCAGCACCCGGCACCGAGGCCGGCCTGGTCCCTGTGCCAACCGCGGCCGAGCCCTTGGATGATTCCCCCGAGCCTGAGCTGCTCCTGAGCTCTGCAGCACCAGAGCCCAGCACAAACGCCAGCCTGCTCCGGGTGCCTGTAGTGTCCACCACAGCCGAGCCTATGGATGAGACAGATTCCCCTAAACCCGATTTACTGGAGGACTCTGTGGAACCAACAGTGCCCAGCCTGCTCCAGGTGCCTGTGGTGTCCACCACAGCTGATCCCATGGATGAGACAGATTCCTATGATCCCGACCTGCTCCTGAGCTCTGCCCCACCACCAGCACCCAGCACCAAGGCCAGCCGGGCGCCCGTGGCGCCAAGCACAGGTGATCCCATGGACGAGACCGATTCCCCTGCTCCCGATCTGCTGCCAGGCTCAGAGCCCCAAAAGAGCATCGCCACCACCACCCGCAGCTGGCTCACGTCCCCCAAGGAGGAGAGCACAGTGACTGATGGCCTGGACAGCCGCTCCTCCGCGGGGCCACGCTCAACAGCCCCTCCAGCCTTTGTCCTCACCACCACGGGCTACAAGAACCCCAAGAAATACGGGGCTCCGCCTGCAGCGACCCTCCCGGCCTCTTGGGACACCACGCCGGAGGCCACCGCGGTGCCCTGGGAGCCCAGCGGGATGATGATGAGCAAGTGCCTGCTGGCCATCCTGCTGCTGGGGCTGGTGGCCGCCACCTTCCTGGTGTGCACGGGGGTGCTGGGGACGCTGCTGTGGCGGCGGGCGCGCTCGGGGCAGCGCCGGTTCAGCCGCACCGAGATGGTTTGTATCTCCTCGCTCCTGCCCGACGCCGAGGCGGCCGCCGGCCCCCGGCCTGTCCCGGCCCGGCGGCACAAGCTGCTGCTGCCCGACGGCAGCTCCGAGCCCGATGGAGACAACCTGACTCTCAGCAGCTTCCTGCCGGAGCACTCCTGAGCCGCGGGGGTGGCTCCTGCATCCTGCAGCTCTGGGGACCCCCTGTTCCCCGGTGTTTTAGCTTGGACCAGTGTGACGGAGCTGCTCCCCCTCGGCCAGCTCAGCCCTCGAGGCCCATCCCATTAAAGAGTTACCCGGACCTGGTGGTCTCTTCCTGGCAGGGACGGCACCCGCCAGCCCCTCCCCGCCCCTCCGCCTGCCCACATCCTGCTGCCAAAATTTCGCTTCTCCAACCCTGCGGGAGCAGAAATGAAACCCGCGGCCACCCCTCGCCGGGCAGGGACCAGACCCTGGGACCTCGGGGACGGGACCGCAGCCCCCGGGACCTCCTCCCCGCATGGGCTCGGCCTCGTGGGAGCTGGGAGCGCGGGGGGGACGGGGCGGAAGCGCCGGGGACAGGGACGGGGACAAGGACAGGACGGGTGCGCTCGTGGCACAACGTGTTCCTGCCTGCGGTCGCTGCAGCGAGGCGGGGACGCCTCCGGAGCCGCCGCTGTCTGTCAGGTGCTCGGCCCGGGGGCGAGCGGTGGCCGCAGGGTCTCGGCATCATCCGGCAGCGCTGGCCCCGGCTGGGACTGGGACTGGGAGGGATGAGGAAAGCAAATCCAAGAGAGGCCAGAGCCTCCCATGGATTTCACCCGCTCAGGCAGGTGTCAGTCACCCCTCAGGCCACCGACTGATCCCTTCCTTGGGGGAGTGGAAATAGCCCAGAACTGGCCCTGTCCTGCCAGGCTCAGTGTCCCCATTTATCCATTTTGGTCCATCTAGGCTTCACATCCCCACATCCCCACATCCCCACATCCCCACATCCCCATCTCTGCTGTGAGCAGGTTCAAAGTCCCCATCTCTCCCTCCCCACCCTTGCCCTGCCAGATTCAGCACTCCCATTCCCACACCCCCATATCCTCTTCCCCACATCCCCGAGCTCGCAGCCTCCTCAAAGGCCACTCTGGGCTGTCTGTCCAGGGGGAATTGCCAGCGTGGTCGTTCACCTGCATCCCGGCCCCGCTGCCTGTTTACATTCACCCTGTGTTTGGGATATTTTCCATCTGGATCCTGGCAGCTGCACAGCCCCGCTCCGGCTGTGAATGTAAATGTTTATGGGTGAGTCAGCCGGGCCAGGAGACCCGCAGCCGGTGGCCGTGGCCGGTCCCCACGCAGGAGACCCTGACCGTGGGCTCCTTGCTGATGCCACCCTGCTCTGTCCCACTGTGTCCCCCTGCCAGCGCCCCGCCAGCCAAAGCAGCCGCGGGGAAGGAGGGATGCTCCCATCCTCTGGCTTCACCCCAGAGCAGCTCATCCGGCCTCTGCCCCCGGTGAGGATGAGGCCGCTGTGTCCCGAGGAACTGTGTGGGCGCAGATCCGAGGGATTGCTCCCGCTCTCCCAGCCCTGTGCTCTCCAGCAGGAGCCCAGCGAGGATAAATTTCCCTCCACCGCAGGAGCGGGAGCCGGGAGCCGGGAATCGCCCTATTTGGCGCAGCCAGCAGGTCCTGTCGGGCTGCCATGGCCCACCTCACGGCACAGGAATTCACGGGAAGCCTGCGCGGTGTCACAGCAGGATCCTCAGGGATCAGGGCAGCTTGCTGGGGTGGGTGACAGGGGGCCGGGGGTGTCACCGGGCTGGGGAGGGTGACAGGGGGCCGGGGGTGACGCAGTCCCACTCACGACGCTGCACATTGAGCTCCACACGCCTCGTGCAGCTCCGCAGGACGGGTCCCCCCCTCCGGGTATTTTGCTGGCGCAGCAAAGCGCAGCCCAGGGAAGCAATTAAAAGCAGAGCAAAGCTGAAATGCCTCAAATTGCCGGTTCCCCGGGCGGGCTGTGCCGCCGAGCCCAGCCCTGCGCGGTCCCGCGTTCCTGCTGCCCCAAATTACACAGCGGGGCCGGGCGGTCCCGGCCCTGCCCAGCTCCGAGGGGCCGGGCCGGGCCCGCCGCAGGCAAAAACGGCATCGTAATGGCCGGGGGGAGCTGGCACCGGGAACCGGGCCGGGAATCCCGGCTGTGAGGGTGGGGACACTGGGCAGGGAGGGATGGGGATCTTGGGAGAGGGGAAAGGGAAAAACTGGGCAGGGATGGATGAAGACTCTGAGCAATGAAGGGTGGGAACCGTGGGCATGGTGGGATGCAGATCCTGGACAAGGTGGGATGGAGACTCCAGGCAAAGCAGGATGGAGATCCTGGCTAGGGTGGGATGAGGCTCTTGGATGAGTGACAGTGGGGACTCTGCACGATGTGGGATGCAGACCCTGGGCAGGGTGGAATGGGGACCGTGGACAAGAAGATGGAGCCCAACACCGGCATTGTTTGGTGCATTATTGGGTGCATTATTGGGTGCATTATTGGGTGCACGGGGGAAGCTCAGCCCATCTCCACCTGGGCTGCAGGAGCAGGGCCGGATGCTGCTGGAACCCCTCCAAGCTGCCCTCACCCCCGGCCTCCCCTCGCCTTTCTCCCTTCCCCTCTAAGATTTCATCACTGAGCACTTAAGGCCGGGAAAAGCCGCCCCAGCAGCTGCTGGGAGCAGCCAGACGGACGGAGCCTTTATTTCGGGGAGCCGAGACACTGGCAGCGACGCCGGAGAAACCCCAGCGGCGCCAGCTCCCCTCCGGCCGAGGGGACTGAATCCCCCACCCCGCGGGGGTCACGGTCCCCTGGCGCTGGCCGTGGCTTTTTGGGGGGTCTGGCAGGTCCCCAGAGAGGAGCAGAGGAAAATAGCAACAGGATGAGGTCACACAGCGGCTGCAGCCTCTTGAGCAACCTCAGGCCAGGCCGAGGGGATCAGGGCAGGGGGAGACAGAGTTTGAGGGGGGGCTCAAGAGATGCCCCCAGACCCCCAAACTGGACACTGGGAGCTGAGCAGCTGCTGTGCTTGCCTGGGGAACCAGGGGGACCCCTGTCTGTGTCCCTGCCTGCACCCCACGGCAGAGGTGCCCAGGCTGGGATTTCCAGGCTGGGATTTCCAGGCTGGGATTTTTTGGAAGCATTCTCCCGAAATTAAGGGAATGGTCCCAAGCCATGTTTTCCCCACTGGCTCAATAATGTCAGGACACTGAACCCACATCCCTCATTGTCCCCCTTGGACCCTCGGATGGGCTTTACCCCCATCTTCATGGATAAAAATAACACTAAAAACTGTGTGACCCCCATCCCCACTTGCACCCCAAAATGTGGTCCCTTCTGGGGTTGATGGTGGGGAGCACCATGGCTCCTTTGCTGACGGGATAAGCCAGGAAACACCCCCAGCCCCAGCTGGAGTTCATCTGGGAGGGGGCTGGGGGCTGCCTGCCTTTCCCTGGCCTCCCACACCCCCTCCCCATCCCGGCCGTAATGAGAACAAGCTGGTCCCGGGCTGCGACGCAGGAGGAGGAGGAGGAGAAGGAGGAGGAGAGGAGGGAGAAGGAGGAGGCTCCATCCCAGCAGGCTGCAGAAAGGGGCTCGAGGTGTGTGGGACAGATCCCGTCTTCCCGGCTCCCTCCCGCCGGCTGCAGGCGAGGTGAGGATCCCACTGGATGTGCCAAACAGCTCCCCAGTTTTTGGGTGGCTCTGGAGCAGGGCTCAGGCTGTCCCACAGCCGGGGGTGCTGCGGTGAGCGCTGGGCATGGTCCCCACGGCGGGACACGGGACAGAGCTGGCCACATGGCTGCATTCCCAGGCAGGAATCGGAGCGTGCTGCGTCTGGACAACACCAGAATCGTGAATTTCTGGAGCGGTTGGGAAGCGGAGCTGGGAACGAGCTGTGGGTCTGGGGTGGGCGAGGATGGGGCTGGAGTGTGATTGGGATGGGGGTGGAGAGCTGGCAATGCCCGCGGTGCCAGGCCCTGCTCTCAGCACTGCTTTGGGCTTTGCTCAGCCCCTCCATGGCTGTGGCTGCTCCTCAGCTCTGATGGCTGCCAGGGAATTGAGGCCGTCCCCATCCCGGGACCCCTTTCCCGCCGAGGGGCCCCTGTCTGGGGTGAAGAGGGGGATGAAGGGGCTCATCTCAGCCCCTCAAACCCTTCATTCTCCCGGTGCTGGTCAGTGCTGTGACCCCACAGCCGCAGCAGTGCCCATGGGGAGCCGGGAGGGTTGGGGGTCAGGGGCACCTCCCACCTCTGCTGCCGTTTTTTTGCACTGGATTAATGAGAACCAGATTGTGCAGCCGGGAAAGAGCCTGGAAGCCAAATCCTGCTGCTGGAGTCCCTCTCGGTCTGTAGAGCTGCTGGCTTCGGTTGGTTTTGGGGTGGAAACGGGATGGGGGTTGGGATTTGGGGAGCCTGAGGTTGGGGAATTGTCATGGGGGGTCCGTGCTGATGGAGCTGGGGAGCTGCTTCCTGAGACTTCCCCATGGAGCCGTGCGGAGGGGAAGAGCCCTGGGAATGGCTCAATGGCGTTACGTGGCGTGGCACGCGCTGGTGGCCCTTGGGAACGGTCACGTCCCTCTCCCAAATCCCGTGGGGTGCAGAGCTCGGCCAGGGGCTCACCCCGGTCACCGCTCCAGGGTGGAAAGCACGTCTCCCGTGTCCCACAGCATGCTGTGGGCTGGGGAATGGGACGGATCCAGCCCCAGCAGGGTGAGGAGCACAGCACAGGGACGGAGCCAGTAGTTCCCCTCTTTACCGGGGATGCTCAGGCAGCCGGGACCCCCCATTCCCTGCACCCCAACTCTGGGGCTGCCCCTTTGTCCCCCACCCCACCCCAGCTCCACTCAACCACCATGGTGGCACTGGGGTGAAATTCTGCCCCAAACTATTTTTAGCCGTGCTCCAGCTGGGAATTAACGGTCCGGGACTGGCGGTTGGGAAATGCCTCTTGCGCCGGGCCCGGCCCCTTTGTAGCGTCGCCTGTGTCAAAGTTTCCACTGCAAACCTCCATTTTTCAGGAATTCTCTAATCAGCCAAATGACCGTTGTCTGGAGCCGGGCGCTGGCAGCAGCCCCGGTCCCCCGGCCTTGAGCAATCCCACCCAGCTGGCTTCCAGCTGCGCCCTTGGAAAACAAACGGAGCCCCTCGCTCTGTCAGAGTGAGAACTGTAGGGAAAGCTCCCTTTCTACTTCCACGAGGAAACTCAGGCGGGTGGGGGCCGGCTCGGGGGGCTCGCTCTGTTGGGGTATTAACACATCCCCCTCCCCTCTGCATCTGACAGGTCTCCTGCACCAATCCTGGGAATGGGCTCAGCCATGGGCACGTGGCTGCTGCTCCTGGTGTTGCTGGCGGTGGCCCCGGCGCAGGCGGCAGCGCCCCGGCACCGCCCGGTGCTGCCGGACACCGCGGGCAGCGGGGACGGGGACGAGGCATCAGCCACGCTGCCCGCCCAGCCCGTCACCCCCCGGGTCAGCCCCACGGTGGGGGACGCGCCGGGGACCACGGTGACCAACAGCTCGGCGCCGGGCGTGCTGGACGGGCTGGTGGATTTCTTCAAGGAGTACCTGCTGCTGGTGGTGGTGGTGGGCTCGCTGTCCTTCGTCCTCCTCTTCATCATCTGCGCCGCCGTCATCGTCCGGCAGAAGCACAAGGCCTCTGCCTACTACCCCTCCTCCTTTCCCAAGAAGAAATACGTGGATGAGCGGGACAAGTCGGGGGGAGCGCGGGTGTTCAGCGAGGTGCCCGAGAAAGCCCCCGAGGCGGGCGCGGAGGAGCCGCTGGACGGCAGCCGGCAGCTCCAGGCGGACATCCTGGCTGCTGCCCAGAACCTCAAATCCCCCCACAAGGCACCGCTGGCCAACGAGGCCCGGGATGAGCAGAATTCCCCTCAGGAGAAGGAGGAGGAGGAGGAAGAGGAAGGAAGGAAGAAGTTGGGGGATGAGCAACCCAAGCTCCCTGCCCAAAATCCAGGTGCGGAGGAGGCGGCAAGCGCAGGAAGCAAGGAGACCCCAGATGCATCCCAGGATGGCTCCCAGGCTCCCTCTGGAATCTGAGGCAGGGACACAGTCCCAGGCAAGCCTGAGGAGCTGCTGGCTTGGGACACGCGATGGACACGGTGGATCAGGTTCTGTACGTACGTGGTGGCTCAAGGAAGCCCCGATGAAGATCCCGTTCCCGCCCAGCTCTCCCAACCCTCGCGCTGATGGGATGCTCATGGGGGGGATTTACCAGCTGGTGGCTTTCCCCAGCACTGGAACACTGTCAGCCCCAGCTCCTGCTGCCCAAGGGGCCTCTCCCACCCCAGGAACTGGGTGGGTGCATCCCCCCAGCTCCAGCTCTGTCCCCACTGTGCCACCAGCTTCCTCCCAAATCAGCAGCAGCCTGGTCCGTGCTGGGCTCCTGGCTGGGAGCTGTGTCCCTCTGGGACGAAGGACGGGAGCAGGGCTGGAGGTCTGTAGGACATGGGTCAGCTTTGCCCATGGCCGCCCAAGGGTAAGAGGGATGAGGGGACAAGGTCCCTCCTTTCCTTCTTTCACCCCAGAGCCCAGCTGGATTTTTGCCTCACTTCCTGAACCCCTTCAGCTAGAAATAAACGTTTCCTCCGCACAGCTCCTCTCCCGTGTGTCTCTGCAGCCGGGGGGTGGCCAGGGGACAGTCCCCATGTCCCTGTGCTCCTCCAGGGGCAGGGAGTTATCAGACCCCAGATCAGCACATCACGTGCCCTTCCAGGAAACCTTTATCTTGCACCCACAGCTGTGGGGCTGAGGGGGGGCTGTGGGGGGACTCAGCCACAGCACTGGGGTGCAGCTGCTGCAGTGGGGACAGCAGGGAAACCTGCAAGGTGAGAGGCTGCTCTGCCCCAAAAGCAGCACACCCCTGCAGCCTCATGGGTCCGTGTTTTATCCCATTATGTCCCTGCCTCAGGACAACCTTCCCCTGGGAAGAGTGTGCCACCACAAAGAGCTGATTTTGCCCCAGAGCAGATGTGAGCGGGCGAAGTTTCCCAGATTCTTTTTTTAAACTGGGGGATAGCAGGATTGTTCTGTGAGGGAAAGGCACGTTCCTCACTGCTGGAGGGTGCCAGGAGCTGAGGAACCACAAGAGGGACCGTGTGAGTGACAAACCTGCAGCAATGTGTGACCTGTGTGTTAAAAATTACAAATACTGTGCTCAGATGGAGCAGAACGAGACAATTATTTTTTTAAATGTGGTTTTAAATTTTTAACAACACCCTCAGTACAAAAAATGGGAAGTGAGGTGTCTCGTGGGGGGTTAGAAAGTGAAAAGGTGAGGTTTGCCAATGTGTTGTCTGCTTGGTTTGGAAATACTCCCCTAGAAAAGAGGAACTCTGGGAGCTCCCCCCTCAGCTCTGCTACTCCCCACCAGGGTTCCAGTCTGAGGGTTTATTTTAGAGAATCCTGGAGTGATTTGGGTTGGTTGTTAAAGCCCATCCACTTGCAAACCCCTTCCTTGGGCAGGAACACCTTCCTCTAGCCCAGGATTTACAGCTGTAAGAGAGCACCTGGTGAGTGAAAAAGTGAAATTCTTAGAGAAAACACCCCAAAATTTCCTCAAACACAAGCTTCAAAAATTAAGCAGTGACAGGATGGGAGCAGAAACCACCAGTGTTTCCTGGCCACTTTTCCCTTTGGCACCTGCAAAGGGTCCCAGAATTCCAAGAGCAGGAATTTGCCCCTGGATTGCGACACCAACCCTGATGCAGCCAGAGCCAGGGGCGGCCCCACAGCTCTCAAACACACATCCAAACCAGGGCAACATTTCCCACTAAATTCCATAAAATATTAGGCAAAACTAGACATCTTCTCAAAAAAAAACAAAAACAAAACAAACAAAAAAAAACCCAAAAATGAAAGTGCAGCCCTTCTAGTACCAGACAGCGGGGTTTTGTCTCCGGAGCGGAGTCTTCCCGCGGCATTCCCGAGGGGATGGGAGCCCCCATCCACGTGAGCACTACGGAGTGGCTGGACACCACAGGGACACGTTGTGCGTAACTTGTGCGTATCTTACAGCTTGAGTAGTGCACAGGGTCCTACTACAGCCCGGGAATTGCGCTGCAGAGTGAGGAGGGAGGAGGGGAAGCTGTGCAGGCAGTTCAGGCATTGTCGGCTTCTTTGTCGGACTCTTTGTTTTGATCCTGCTTCAGTTTGTAATCAGCCAAGGCAGCCTTGATGGCATCTTCAGCCAGCACTGCAAAGCAAAAAAAAAAAAGGGTTTTAAGGGAAATTCAAGGCCTTTTAGGATAAAAGATGAGGTAAAAACAAAAGCAGGACAAGACCAGCAGCACAGACCGATCTTAGGAGTAGAATCTGAATGGAATTCCTAAAATACTGAATTCCTATAGTGCTGATTTCATGTAATGTAACTTTAAATAACAATATAACATTGAAGTGATCTGAAAATTAACCCTGAAATCAGAACAAGTTTTCTCTTAAGGGCAGTGCTGTGTAGAAACTCTTTGGAAAACAGCATCCAGAAGCAGCTGTGTTGTTCCCAGATCATCTGAGATCCAGGGTTTTCACTTACTGGAGCAGTGCAGTTTGACAGGTGGAAGGCAGAGTTCCTTGGCAATATCTGTGTTCTTGATTTTCAGCGCTTCATCAACCTGAAACACAGGCAGAGGTGGTCACAGGCCCTGCTGTTTGTGTTTGCTGAGAAGGTTTAATGCTCCAGAGCCAGCAGAATCCACAAGGGAGATCGCCTCAGCTGCCTAGAGCAGTGAGGGATGTGAGAATTAAGGAATGTCTGATATATCAGTGTCACAGACTGTCCCCACTTGGGCTGTTTTGAGTCTCTTCATCCTCTACCACAACACTGAGGTGCATTTACTGCTGGCAGAAACAATCTAAAGATTATAAGTAAAATTTCTGCCATCAGCCTGGTTTCGCTCATTGCGTAAGACACAAAGGAATTTCCTGGTGGAACTGCTCAAAGTGTGGCTATAACACTTTGGGACATGGTGGAGCTGCCAGTGCTCGGGGGACAGTTGGACTCAATGTTCTTAGAGGGCTTTTGATATTAATGATTCCCTAATGAAAAATACAATTGTTGCCCTACAGCTACAACCCTGAGAGTCACTTCTACAGCACAAAGTAGTGCAGGGACTCCCCAGAGAGCACTTCCTCCGTGATCCCAAAAGAGAACGCAGGCACGTGGGAAGCTCTGCAGCTTTCCCGGAGCTCCCTCACCGTTTTCCCTTTGACCCACTCTGTGGCCAACGAGCTGGAGGCGATGGCCGAGCCGCAGCCGAAGGTTTTGAAGCGGGCGTCCACGATCTTGCCGTTCTCGTCCACTTGCACCTGCGGGAGCATTTTGGGGACGCCTCAGCGCCCGGTTCAGCTCAGCCAGGTCCCCGCAGCCGGGCCCCCGGGGAGCGGGACTGGCCCTGCCCCGGGCACAACGGAGGCCTGGGGGACACAGGAGAGTTTGACCCTCGCAACAGCCTGATGTAAAGCCCACCCAGGTGTCAGAGGGCCCCCAAGGTCACCTGCAGCTTCATGACGTCGCCACAGGCCGGGGCGCCCACCAGGCCGGTGCCCACGTTCTTGTCGTTGCGGTCAAGGGAGCCGACGTTGCGCGGGTTCTCGTAGTGATCCACTACCTGCCAAGACAGCGTCAGCGAGGGTCACCCCGCATCTCTCCCGTCCCTCTCCATGTCCCGCTCACCCCTCACCTTCTTGTGGTAGCCCAGCGCGGCCGGGGCCGGCCCGGACCGGGGCCGCAGAAGCGCTGTCCCCGCCGCCCTCAGCGCCGCCATCTTGACTGAGGGGAGGGTTGGTGTCCACCCCCTTTTTATAGCCTCGGGCGGGTTAGCCACGCCCCCGTCACGCCCCTTCGCCTCCCGAGCCCGCCTCTCACCCCGGTCATACGTTGGCCGCTCGGACGGTGCGAGCGCTGGAGGTCGCCTGTGGGAAGGGCCTCGCGTTGTGATCAGTAAATAAATAAACGATGGAAACGGCCTTTCGATCGCACCAGGGTTTTTATCGCGACAGCCGGCGCTTGTGCGGCACGCGGCGCCACACTCAATATGGCGGGTGAGCGGCGCCGCGCACGCCCCGGACCCTCTCGGAGGCCCCCTGATGGCCACACAGCGGGGTGCCCGCGCTGCTGCCTGCGCCACGGAACAGAGGACAAAGAGTCGCGCTGCGGCCGCACTGCGCGTAGCGCGGCCCCGGTGCGCGGGCGAACGCGGGGAGGGGCGGGTCGAGGATCCCGGTTCTTCCCGCCCGGTTCGGCTGGCGGTGGGGCGGGGCAGCGGGACGGGCGGCGCGGGGGCAGCCGCGGTGGCCGGCGGAGCGCGGCGGGCGGCGAGCGGAGCTGCATAAGATGGCGGCGGCGGGAGCTGAGGCGGCGGCCGAGGAGGAGAAGCGGCTGCCGGAGGGAGACCCCGAGTCGGGTGGGGACTCGGACGATGAGGGCGACTCGGACTCGTCTGGGGACGGCGAGGATGAGGAGAAGGAGAACGAGGCCGAGATCCAGCGGCTGGAGGAGCAGGTGGGCCCGGCGGGGCAGCGGGTGTGGCGGGAACCGGGGATAATCCGTGTCTGCCCCGGCAGCTCCGTGCTGGGAACTGTCAGAACCTGAATTTCCGTGGTTCTTTTGAGTTTGTTCCAACTCGGGACATTCCGTGGTTTTATGCCGTGAATGTTTGGAGTGTGAGATGGAAATTGACCGGCTTGGGATTTTTTTCTGAGAGGGAAATATGAGGGGAGTCCTAGTAGGCAGTTTGTGTTCATTGAGAAATCTGAGCTGGCTGCCCGCGGTTTTTTATTGCCTTTAAAGAAACTAAAACGCAATTCTCTCTGTGACCGGTGGCAGGACTCGAGGGAACAACTGGAGCTGTGTTAAGGGCTAGGTTAAATCTGAGGAAATTCTGTTGTCTTGGCTCTGTGATGAGAATTGTATGATTTGTTTGGCTTCTTCGCGTCCGTCGCTCGACACGGCTTTCCAAACTGATTTTTTTGTTGGTTTTTTTTTTTGTTTTTGTTTAAAGCTTTCCATCAATGCTTTTGACTACAATTGTCACTTGGATCTGATCAAGCTGCTCCGGCAGGAGGGAGAGCTGGTGAAGCTCCGAAGAGCTCGGCAGAAGATGAGCGAGCTCTTCCCCCTCACTGAAGGTAACGGAGCATCCTCTGCTCTCCACAGGTGAAGCATCACCTGTGCGAGATGCTTCAGTGGTGAAATAAAACATTTTCATCACCCTCAGTCAGGGAATATGATCCAGAGCTCAGCAAAGTCCTGCTAAAAATAACATTTCACTGACAGGCAGCAGAGAAAACTCCATGTTGGTGGAAATTGTGGATGCTTGAAGTGGGGATTTCTTTTTACTCATAACTCAGAGGGAATAGGAATATTGCAGAGGCTGCTCTGCTAGTGTGGGATTTAATTATTGGAAAGGGATGCTGAGGCCGTGGCTGTGGCTGCCCCTGGATTCCTGGAAGTGTCCAAGGCCAGGCTGAATGGGGCTTGGAGCAGTCTAGGTTAGTGGAAGGTGTCCTTGCCCATGGCAGGGGCTGGAATAGGATGATTTTCAAAGTCCTGAGAAATTCCAACTTCTTAGCAGCAATTTTATTTGCTTATCTGAAATTAATTGGGAGTTGTGGAGGTTAAAATTCCTGTCTTTCTCCCTCTCTTTGGGTGTAAATATGTTGCTAAAAACTCACCAAGTGGGCATAACTTATTATTTTTAATATTAATGATGTGTTCTAA